CCCGATCTGTAAGAGCAAGTCTAGGCTTTGAGGACGTGCAACTGTTCTCCAAACTGCACCTCACATCTCTGAAGACAGAGGAAACCTCCTCCATGTCAGACGGCTTCTCATTTGTGCCTTCAGTCTGACCCCTGTCCTGCTTGTGATCTTGAGGTTATGGGGACCCAAGGGTCCAGAGGAGGGTGCTGGTGTCTCCAGTCTCCTCAGATGGGCCTTGCAGACCCCAGGGCTGACAGTCCTCAAAGACCATGCCCTTGCTGGGCACAGAGGCACCATCCCAGCTGCTGGGAGGTTGAGGCAGGAGGAGCCCAAGTTCAAGGTCAGCCTGGGCAACTCAGCGAGAGCCTGGGCCAATATAAAGTAAAAAGGGCTGGGTGTACAGCCTGGTGCTGGACGACTCACCTACCACACACAGGACCTCTGGTTCACCACAAGTAACTCAAACAGAAATGAGCAAAGAGTACCCCATACCCTCGCCTCTGGCCCTATGCAGCTCCACATCCTCTAGGGTCCTTCTACCCCAAAGATTTTCAAGACCCCTCAGGTGCAATAGCTCCAAGGCCCCTGAAAGGCCTCTGCCACCTAAAATCAGTCCCAAAGAACTGTGTCCACCCCAGGGTGGGAACTGGACTGAGCTGGAGAGGGGCATTCCTCTGGCGCTGTGAGTGGACCCTGTCATGGCCTGTGCCCTTCACACTCTCTCCCACACACCTGTAGGCAAGGACTGTCATCGCCCAGAGGAGGAGGGGCACAAGGTCCCCAACACTTAGGCCCAGCTGGGCTGCAGGAAGCACAAGGTTGGGGAATCCCAGGGCAGGGGTGCGAGGGGTCCTGCCTCCTGCCCAGAGTGGGGTCTGCACCATCACCCACCTTCCCTGGACTCCAGCCAGGACGGAAGCTCTCAGCTCTGCCTCGAACCATCCCTGCCTTCAGCAACAAACTGAAAACATCCACCACCAAGATGGCGGCAAGGTGGACGCTGTCTGAAACGGCCCCTCCACAGGATCCCACACAGTCCAGAGCGGCAGACTCATCCATTTCTGTCTTCAGCGTCACTCAGTGAACACCTTATCCAGGCTCACTCTCCCTGCCCTCTCAGCAACCAGTCCTGGGCCCAGTACTGAGAGCGCCCTGCCTTGGCTCTTTTGATCTGCTCTCCTGGCGGCAGTGGGGACCCTGTCACCCAGAAGGACATATTTGGCCTCTGGTTCTTGCCAATCGGACTCTCAGAGTCCTTACAGCTGCTCCTAGAAGAACCAGAGACGCTGCAGAAGGACCGGGAGTGAGAAGACTGCCCGGAGTTATGGAGAGATTGCAATAAATCACCGAATCGATCTTAAAGCAGGAGACAGAACCTTTGTTGGCCAGCTGGGGGTCTGCATGCACCAGCTGGCAGGCCAAGGGAGGGCTGCCAGTCTACACCCTTTGTCCTCCTCTCGGGGTTAGAGGACACCTTTATAGTCCAAAGCCACATGAATCATGAGTAGCTGCTGCTATGATTCAAAACCATAAGGAAACTTCATGAGATCTAAAATCATAAGCAGAAGGGGGAGTGGGCCAAAACGTCCCTAGTTTAGCACAAGTTCAAGAATGGTTACCAACTTCTAGACAATTAAACTCCAAAAGGATCTCTTGTCCAAGAAAAATGGGAACCAAAGAGAACAATTTCACATTGTATAAGAATTGCCATTTTATGTCACCAAACACGCTGTGCTAAGCCACTGTAGATGGGGACAGAGGGAGGTGTTCCCATGGGAGAAGAACCTCTTACATGACGTGGAGCCTCAGGGTAAAATGGAGTTTGGTCACTGTCCATATAGCCTGGCCCGTAACAGTGGGAGGAGGGCTCTGCTGGATTTGTTAATCCAAATCACCTGGGCAGAAACAGACTCTGTGTGTGTTGCTGAAGGAGGTCATCTGACAAAATCCCTGGGTAAGTTCCTGGTGTCATGTTGGAACTGGATGGAAGACTGGAGGCTACTTCCACCCTCCCCACGTCATCTCTGAAGATCTGGCTGGTCAAAGTAGGTGGCCCTGACAGATGGAGAGAGATTCTTCTGTAGGATTCACTGGGCCTGAGCTCTCTTTGTGGGCTTGCTGGAGCTGCAGGTACCTGAGACACTGAATGTGTGAAGACATTTACTATTAAAAAAGGGTCCAAGTCTGGAAAGTTGGGCCGTCTGCACTACATAGCCTATTCTGTGCCCCTTATCATTTTTATGCAAAGTTGTTTCTTTCTTTTTCTATTTCTGAGAAAAGCAAAGCCTGGTGTGAAGTGGAGAAAATACTGGAATGAAGCAACAATGTCAGGGAGGTCAGGGAGAAGGAAAGCCACGGAGTTCCAGACTGGCTTTGCTGATGAAGCT